GTTAGGGGGAAAATGCAGCATGTCAAAGAACGAGAGCTAACTACCATCTAAAAATCATGACCCTAGCACGTCCAGATCACGAAATTTAAAAGCCAGAAGTTTCACTGCAGTACGTTCTAATTCAATGACATGGGGACCCCCCACAAAGCCCATCAAAGTCAAACTTCCAAATGCAGCCAGTATGAAATTCCTGTCAGTCGCCACTATTGCATTATACTACTATTTATAGCATTTTTCTCATTATTTATGCAAATTAAGCCTTATTGACACCAAATATTTTGACCCCAGCCTGTTTCTATCAAAACTGCTTGCCTGCCCCAGATAATGTAGAGCTCAAGGATGTGACCCACTTCCACATCTGTGTCTATTTTGATATACAGTACTAACTTGTCAGGGCTGTTTTCAGAGTAGCTGAGACTCTTGTTATTATAGGACACTTCGTTGGTACTGTTCAAACAATTATCTCTACACCCTGTCAGTGTGATTGTTATCTTACCTTAGTTCACCCTGATATCTGTTATCTTAACCTACTACATAGAACAACACGCCTGTTAGCGTAACCTACTTAACCCAACTATGCTGCTAGTTTAACCAACTACATAAAAGGACAAAGACTTCGCCTACACTTTAAAGATGTGCAAACAAAATGTCCTTAGGCTATTACACGTACCCACAACCTACTACAGACTCCAAACTTTAAACCCTCAATCTAAACCCCTTAACCTATTCACAAAAAATTTAAGAAAAAATTCTATTCTACAACTTCAACTACTGAAAAACTAACAATCACCAAAAGTCCACTACGTAACTGCAGTATGAAAGACATTTAGATTTCTCTTATCAATTTATCAATTAATCAAATTGGGTCACAATTTACATAATTAATATCTGTTACTGTTCCTCTTCCTCTTGATTAAATATGCCACCATTTTAATTGTTCTATTATGGAACACAGCAGATTTATAGACTTTTGTCATTAATTATGTAAATTAGATCGTGATCTGTGTAATTGTCATCTAATTAGGTCAAGCATCACTTAAGCTACCGAGATCCCAAAAATAACAACAATCCGTCAACCGGTTCTTGAGCTATCCTACTTCAGACATTTTCAAACAAATGCCTCTGCATTTCCCAAACAAGCTGCTACGGGGCCCAAACTTACGGCACTTTTTTGTGAGCACAAGAGCTACCTACCATCTAAAAATCATGACCCTAGCACGTCCAGATCACGAGATTTAAAAACCAGAAGTTTCGCTGCAGTACTTTCTAATTCAATGACGTGGGGACCCCCCACGGAGCCCATATCCGAACTTGACCTTGGTATTGTCAATGGTAATTTGCCAACTAAAAAACATGAACATCCATTTAAAGATTCTCGAGTTATCTTGATGACAAGAAAAAACACAAAAAACAAAGGTCAACTGCAGTGACATAGAAACCCCCACGGGGCCCATCTTTGAACTTGACCTCGGCATTTTCAACGGTAACTTGCCCACTAAAAATAATGAACATCCATTTAAGGATTCTTGAGATATCTTGATGACAAGGAAAAACACCAAAAACCAAGGTCAACTACAGTGACTTAGGAACCCCCCACGAAGCCCATTTTTAGCCTTGACAATGGCCACCCCTAAATCAACCTGCCTGCCAAAAATCGTGAACCTCGGACCTTGCCTTCAAGAGTTATCGTGCCTAATCTGCCAAACAGTGCAAACCCGATTTCATAACCTTCTCCGAAGGCATAGCCTTCAGTCGAAGGCAACAAAGGTGATCAGATTCTATGTACTCTTGAGGCTATGAAAGGGTTTTTCACGGAATCCTTTTTTTAGGGAACCGGCTAATGCTGAGGTCACATTTCCAAACCGGTGCCCGGTCGGACAGTCTTCTGAACGAAAAATATGGTATTAAAAAAACACAAAAAAAGGTGGAAAAAAATTAATAATGGAACTATTTGAGTATATTCTTGATGAAATTGTTGGTTCTCGTTAATCGAAACAGATCGGTTTGGAAATGTGACCTCAGCATTATCAGGGTTATGTAAAACGAATACTGGTACTCCCAAATCCCACATGTATAGCCTCCCGTCATTAATGTTTCAAAAAGAGAGAAGAAAGGGCAACTAACAGTAGATGATAGGTAGTTTATAGTATTATTGTAATGTATAGATTCCTAGCACTTTGCATTAGAATATAGCGTACCAGTATGAAATACTCATGTTTTACATACTGGATATCCTCTTGTGCATTTAGCCCATCTGGGCAAGAACATGCAATAAAGATTCATATCATATCATTAATGCACGACAGAAGGCCCCATAAGTGGATGTACTTCTGACAGGTCATGCATTAGAGGGCTAATAGCGCACACCAACGGCAAGTGCCGCTCTCGTCTATAGATTGAATTCATCTTGCCTTATTCCACCTCGCCAATCATGTTGTTCAAGTACTATAAGCCTGCGCATTTACGCAGATTCGCCCACATGCATCCCATAAGGGCAACACTCGCCGCATGTAAATCGTAGCAACTATAAGCGCCTATTGCTGTTCACCTTTCTTTCCGCTTCTTCAATTGATTTCAACACGTTAGATACTATAGATAAATTCAACTGCATTCTCGATCTTAGAGACCACATGTTAGAGAATAGTTAACTTTTATTGTTACATCATACATATACTCTGTACGTAAGATGACGTTATCCACACATGTATTTAGCTTTGTTAGATCTTTAGTTAAGCTGTAGAAGACCATACAAAAGTCTCTGTACTTTTTTGTTGTGTCAATAAAGAATCTGTATTAACGCTAGCTGTGAAACAGAGTATGAAATACATTTTATTTCAAACTGTTCATTCCGTAACAACGTTCGAAATGAGTTGACTATTCAAACTTCTACAATTTATCCCATTTTCTCTAAACTTACAGACCAAGAAAAAACTACTCTTCTTTTAACTTCCCCAAACCCACAAATTTTGGAAAAGGTGGGACATTACGTCTTCCATGATTTACAGAAGAGAAGTCAAACCCTTCAGACATAGTTTTAGACATAGTCAGTACTAGACAGCTACCTTTATCATGTAGACTTTAGTTATTTTATACTCTATTTCATTGTTCTTTTATGTTTTGTAATTTGCAATTAGCCTCCGGGCACGAATTTGCAATAAACTTTTCATTAATAAAACAAGTTTATGTCCAATTTACGGGTCTAAGACAGATATTCAATGCTGCTACTTCACAGAAAACGACCTGAAAATACAGCTTACCATTAAACTGAAATGACGACGAAGTGCATGAATGTCAGGACTAAAATATAGGTACTTCTGGTACTGGCTTATAGGATATCGATGTTAAATAAGATAGATAATCCCCATAATTAGAAACCAGAACTCGAACGGCAAAACCGGAGGTTCCGCTGCAGTAGTAAGGAAAGTCGCTACGGGGCGCACACAAACGGCGTGCATCTGAGGGAAAGCAACACCTCCCCACGTACCAAGTACCACAAGGGCAGACAGTACTATTAGATCTGGCCATAGGAACACATGCTTAAATACACTATTAGAAGTCCTCATGAAAGTACTTGCCCATACTTCAATCTCATTTTTTTTTTCTGCACCAAGTAGCCACAAGGGTCTGATTCCCAAAAATAGAAAGGAAACAGGGGGTTGACCAGCTAGCTCAAATTCGCCACAGCTGATGATATTAACAAAACCTCAACTTTGACCTAACCATCCGCCTGGCCAGACAAGACCTAACTACTCACATGTCTCATTACACCCACTAAACTGGTGAAATAAACAAAACCTGACCAAAGTAGGAAAGTTTAGACCCTAGCCTTCCAGCCCAAAAATCTCCAAAATGGACCAAAACTTTCAAGAGAAAAAAGGATTTTAAAGGTATTAACTAGGCACTACAATCGTTCCCATTTTGAGGCCTCTACTGCGAAACGCAAATGTGGTGTCTGCCCACAACCCACGGACATCAACCGCCCCTACACATACTACCGCTTTAACTTCCACCTTCACGAGTTTCATTAGAGTTGCCTGCCCGCCCCTATCGATGTTACAAATGGAATATCCCACCCTGTCCTTGGTGCTGAACGGCAGTCTAGTGGTTCTACTGCTGAGAAGACCAAAGTAACATACAACAGTAGCCAAGCGTAACTCTCTTGTTCAACTTTGTACAAGCGAAGGTTTTGTATATAAGATCTGTTTTCAAGTAACTAGTGGTTGTAAACATATTCTTGGCGTCGGTGGCACAAGAGTGTAGTTAGAGCGTAGGACTCGGGACCAATAGGTCCCGGGTTCGATACTCACCATGCCTTCACGTTGTGCCCTTGGGAGAGGCCCACACGACTTCCCTCCCTGTACTTGTGGAGTGATGCCCACTTTGCCTCTTCGGATAATCTGTCTGTATGCAAAAAAAAAAAAAAAAAACACTACGGATTTGGTGCGCTAATGTGACAACATCTGCACATTTGCCGCCCGAGAGCCGTAAAAACAAGTGCTTTTGCAAAAAGCTGGCATTTCGGCGCGCTATCAGTGTTATATGTTGTACATCTTACATATGCAACCCTGCATCTGCTTGGAAATAACTTTGTAGGCATGTCACTCTATCAAATCTGCTTGAAGATGACTCAATAGTCAGATCATGGATGCCACCAACATCTGCTTGGAGATAACTCTTACATATACCACCTTACATGTGCTTGGAAATGATTATAGATATGTTCCTCTACATCTACTTTGTGATAATGCTGTACATATGCCACTCTAGACATGAATAGGCTAGGGAGATGTACATGTAGAGCAGATATTTTGATTTGAGTTTTGTCTTCAGTGACATTTTAGAAAACAGCAAAAGTGTCGTAGAGATTTTACAGATGACAGAAAGCAAGCTGGATAGTGTTTTCGTATTTGTGAAAACATTTAACATGCGCCGAAATGCAAAAAAAAAACATATTTGCATGTATGTGTGACCATTCTATACCCTTTGTTTTTGTCTCCCAGTGACGTTCTGTTCCCACACGATGGCCGCAGACGACTCTGAGTTCTGCAGTGACATGACTCTGTACGAGCTGTACTGTGACAGCTGTAAGTACATGTTCCTCAAAACCATCCACGACACGGCTAACAGAACGCACCAGGACCTGTCACTGGTCCTGTGCAGCTGGCCAGACGTCATTCAGTAAGTGGAAATCTTTCTCCTTCTTATCACAGTTTACATGTGCACAGAATTGCAATATGTAAAGAGATCCTCCTTCCTCCCTATTCCCGCATTGTAGTTTAGGCCATGTTGATTTGATTATATGGATGGAAATTCTATGGAAACCCAAAAACTGATGCGAGCGTGCGAATAAAAAAAAAAGATTGGCAAAACAAAGTTGCTTTCAACATGAAATCCACGCTGAACAAATGACACAGAGTATGGTTTGGCGAATAATCTACTCTTCAAGTTCATTTCTTTATACATTTTCGTCTTTTTCGTTTGATTTTGGCATTCTATGACATTGGTATCGTTTTCCGATATATATTTTTTTGCAACTTACGGTATATATTTGCTCATTTTACAATGTTTTGTACGATTTACAGTATGGTTGAAAACTTTTTTTCGAAACGGCCGAAAAATCATGCGCGCGCGAATGTCATCCATATTAATCAAATCAACATGGCCTTATCACAGTTTATATTTGCGCAGAATTGCAAAATGTGAAGAGATTTCCTTTCCTCCCTACTCCCGCATTGTAGTTTAAGTCAAGTTCTGGACAAGTAAGAACGACAATACAAATAAATTCTCTTGTTTATATGGTCTGTTTGTTTTGCTTGGAAAAAATACTGTCTGCCTGTCAAGGGCGCCACCTAACGGATTCTAACTAGAACGACACAACAGTAATTTTGACCAGACACTTTTACAAAGAACATATAAAAGCGACCCCTAGCAACAGTTGAAAAGCAAACACTAGTTTACACTAATTGGAAAGGATGAAAAAAATCATGGAAAACATAATACACTGTGTTGAAAATTTGCATTTCATTTGTGGTCAGTGATAATGTGCTTTTCCTAAATTAGCACATTTGAATCAGTATTTCATACTTTAGGTATCTAAAACTGCATAAACAAGCCCCAAGATTAGTTCTCTATTTTCTGAGGGGTACCCTAAAGATCAATCCAGGCCCTCCCTGTAACCGTTTTTCGTCAGAATTTTTGGCATTTTTGCTCCATGAATGTAGATGTGCGCTGGGACAGTGTGGTTTCAACTCAGTGTGTAGTAATTGAATAGAATATTGACTTTGAAAAATCTGGTTTCCAAGCCCTAAAACTGCACTGGGTGCCTTTAAACATTTTGTTGTTCCTTTTCCTTCTGATCTTTCCTTCCACAGGCCCTACTTCAAGCTGACGAGATGCCAGGAAAGGGTTGCCAGCTTGATGAACTGCTCAGACGAGACTTTACACATTCTAAGAGACGAATTCATGCTCAGTGTGCACCGGAATTTCTTTGCACATTGCAACGGCACACACAGTCAGGAAGAGGACCCTGAAATGGACGATTTTCTGGAGATGATCTCAGCGATATCGTCAGTGTCCGTGGCTGTTGTCATCCTCATCCTGGCTCTGCTCATCACCACCACCTGTTCCCCGAGGAAGTACATCAAATTCTGCTGTTCAAACGAAATGTGACCCCCCCTCCCCAACATGGCCGCAATCAAGATGGTGGCGGAAAACAAACAAAATGGCGTCCAACCTACAAACGAAAAGGCCCTGCTGCACTACTGAACTATTTATTGTAAACAGAACTATCACAGAACTGTACATGAGCACAATTATATAGGCATGTATCTGTAGTCACCTCTTCAAATTTTGTTGTCTTTGATGATCTTTTTTTTTGTGATAAGTATCACGTGAGTCCTTGAAAACAAACTATGAATGTGAAATTATGACATTGTCATCATATTGTAATAATGTAATTTGATTTATGGCATAAACATTACCTTAAAAAATTGACACAGGTAGTACAAAAAGGACAAAAACAATTGTTTTGTTACCATAGTTGGAGATCTCATACAAATAAATGGAATGAGGCCAAAATTTAATGTCCACTTTACACATTAAGGGGTGGAGAATAAGCATTCGTGGAGGAACAGTTATTGGATACAAACTAAGAGGACTACATGGCTGCTTTGGGTGAAAATATTTTCCTTATCCAACTCTGTAAAACATATATGAAAAAACATAACATTCCTTTGACAGAAATACTTGTTAATTATGCCATACTCGGGTGAGGTTTCATCATAAATACATAAATCTATATAGAATAGGGAAGGTTCTGTTAAACATCTTGTGGTGTAATTGAGTTACACGGTTTTCTTGGTGTAAAACCATTGATATGTGTAACATCTCGCGGTATTTTCATTGTCATGCGTTTAGCAATGTTTGAGGCCAAAAAGGTATGCGTACGACAAAAACACTTCTTTTGAGGATTGTGGTGTAGTGGCATCATCTACAAAGCAGTATAATGCACATAGTGAAATGTGAAGTGTATGATTGCTGGTATTGTTCAATTCATGACTTTCACACTTGCCATAATGCCTAGTAAATACCTTGAGAAACCCTCAGTGTAGAAGGCTATCAGCCTGTAGTCACACTCTCCTCACTCTAGGTATTTTCTCTTGCTCCAACAGTCGTACAGTAGTAAAGATCACAGATATGACGAATGACCCCCTCCCCCTTCCTCGATGTAATATTTCCAACAAGTTCTATCGGCAAACTGGTCAACTATATTGTTTTGAATTATTTATCTAGTATAAAGCGCATGCCATAATTGCATTTCTGTTGGAATTAAAGAAAATGACGTACCTTCTATCGTTCTACCTTCTATCGACGACTCTCCTACTCGCACGGTCGCATTACGTATATCCGCTTCTTACGTCATATCCGTGATCTTTACTAGGCATTATGGGAAGTGTGAAAGTCGTGATGCATGAATGATTCTGTAGTTTGACACGTTCGATGACGGAAACGATACCTGAAACCAATGAGCATATTTGTTTGATGGAACCAATGGACAGCAGCTATTTTCGTACGTGTATTTTGGGACCGTGACTTGTATGGTGTTTGTGAGTTTTATGTAAGAGTTAACTTACACGTTTCTCTGAGTCATACTAAGGCCATGTTGATTTGATTATATGGATGGCATCCGCGCGTGCATGAATTTTTGGTCATTTCCAAAAACCATAACCATACTGTAAATCGTACAAAACACATGCAAAATGAGCATGAAATATATACCGTAAGTTGAAAAAACAACAACATATGAAACGATACCAACGTCGTAGAATGCCAAAATTAAACGAAAAAGACAAAAATGTAAAGAAATGAATTTGAAGAGTAAATTATTCGCCAAACCATACTCATTTGTTCAACCTTCAAAACTACGTAGATTTCATAATGGAAGTAACTTTTTTTTGTGGGGGCCATTTTTTTATTCGCACGCTCGCATCAGTTTTGGGGTTCCCAGAAGATGTCATCCATATAATCGAATCAACATGGCCTAACAAAGGCCCAGGTTTCAATACCGTTACGATGGCATATCCCGTGATGCTCGTGAACATTTGTATATTATAAACACCAGTTATGAAGATATACTCTAATGTTACGAATAAATATCTGTTCTTTCAAATCAAATGATATTCTGATCAATTGCCTGGATTATATATGGCCTCCTCTTGTCTGGATTAGAAAGATAAACTAGCAAGGCCGACATTTGCTTGGGAGCAAATACAGCATATTTCAGTCCATCTCCCTCCCACGCAAAAGTGGACTATTCCAAACTTACCCCAGTGTAAAACTGGAGGCGAAGAAACATGAGAGAACACAATATATTTCATCCATACCATCGTATGGACTGAAATATAATTATGATAATATTTCCCTAGTCTCAACACATTATAGGGATGGAATTTGTGTACGCCAATAACAAAATGTGAGCATACTGTATATCCTACAAAGAATCTGTGAAAGAGCACGTAATTAGGATCATTGATTATCAGTATATGGATGACATTCGTGAGCGCACGAAATTTTGACCGTTTCCAAAAAGGTTTTGATCATACTGTAAATCGTACAAAGCTGCTGCAAAATCCGCAAATATATGCTGTAAAAAAAGGGGGGGGGACATAAGATGCTGTAAAATGCCAAAATCAATTCCAAAGAAAAAAAGACAATGTCAAGAAATGAAAATGAAGAGTCTATTATTCGCCATACCGTACTCTGTGTTTAGTCCTTTGTGACGACGAAGGTTTCATAATCAACTTTGCCAAATTATTTTTATTCGCACGCTCGCATCAGTTTTGGGGTTCCCATAGGATGTCATCAACATAATCAAATCAACATGGCAAAAATATTGCAAAAGTAATACTAGTGTCTTTAAGAATAGAATACCTGGTATACCGTTTTTGTCTATCAAATTGTTTTGTGTATACGAGTACAACTAGGCTTAAAATTGCATTTGAGCCTTGATTACTTCGACAATTAAGAAAAGTGCATGCTACAATCTCAGCGAAAGGCGCCGCCAAACGGCTGGAGTTATCATTGCAGTAAAACACGCATCCAGCAGGGGCAAACATAACTAACTAGGGGTCCCCATCGACACGTGTCCTCCCAGCTGTTGTCCTCCCAGACACTACAATGATACAATACAATACAATACAATAAGATATCATACATAATATACATTACATTATCTGGATCACCCCCCATTCCCGATCGAATGGCATAACCCGATGTTACCTCCATCATACATGTACGTTGTTCTCGAACAATCATCACTACTGGGAGTTACCATGGACACTACTCCATTGTTCACGAACGAACACGGTATCTGTAAACGTACAGTCAGCTGTGCCTTGACTAAGCGAAGTTTGAGTGAAGTTTTTGGTCGATTTAAAGAGAAATCAGAGCCAGAATGGGGACGTCGGAATCTAAGCCGAACAGTTTGGGATGCGCATGCGTTCTGAGGAGGCTGAGGGGGAAGAATAAAGTCTCTAATTTCGGAAAAGTGGAAACTTCGGTGACGTCACCTTCCACACCCAAGCCGGGACTGTTCAGTCGTCTGCTGAAGAGGTCAACACTGCCACCGGGTGAGTAGAGAATTATTTCACCCTTTAGGCCATGTTGATTTGATTCTATGGATGGCAACATCTGGGAACCTCAAAACTGATGCGACCGTGCGAATACATAAAAGTCTGGCAAAACAATTTCCTTCATTATGAAATCTACGTGGTCATAAAGGTTGAACAAATGACAAAACACACAGAGTATGGTATGGTGAATAATAATTTCTCTATTTTCATTTCTTGACATTTCTTCTTTCCTCTGGAATTGATTTTGACATTCTAAGACATTATTTTTTTCAATCATCGACATGTATTTGCTAAATTTCCTTGGTACGATCGCGATTTACAGTATGGTCGGAATTTTTTTTTTGAAACGGACGAAAATTCATGCGCGCGCGGATGTCATCCATGTAATGAAATCAA